TATCCATGTCATTAAGAAATGTCTAAAATCACTTATTTCAATTATATATTCATATATACATCAATTAGAGCCTGTAATATCAGTTTCATGAAATATAATCAATAATTGGTATTATGGCAATATTTCAATTGAGTATTGACATTGCAACACTTCCCAAATTGGAAATATAGAAAATACAATCATGAAACCAATTATTTATCGATAAAATGCATAGATGTACGATATAATCAAATAAAATATATGGGTCCCTATTGAAAGTGTTTACCTGGTAAATAGTGAGCGTAACTTCCCCTACTCTCATCCTAATTGGTTATCTACCTATATATATGATAGATTTCAATTATTTCAATTACATATCATAAAACATGATAGTTAGACATGTATCAATGAGTGGAATTAAGTCATGTAAGATATTCATCCTTCAATAACCGATATTGTCATTTTCACACAAGTTGACTTCCTACAGTCTGAATATGGATCCAATAATAATTATTTCAATTATATATGATTATATTTGATGTTTATTACAATATTAACAAGTTTAATAAATTGGTATAGTGTTTCCATAGTATGGCTCAATATCTTGGTCAATTAAAGTAGAATGAGTACAGTTTACTAAGGATATTATATATTATACTTTCAACACTTCTACAATGTGAATATCATCATTGTACATCATATATATGAGATTAGTGATGATTGTAATAACATTCATATAATAGTACAATAAATGTTAGAAAGTTAATTTTTAAACATGTTGTAACTTATTAAATACACCGATTCAACATGATTAATTCATAATATCATCTATTCATCTATATATCTACAATATATTAAAATTTACATTTCAACCCAACTTTGAAATTTTAGACCTACTAGGGTAAAAACCTTAATATTTCAGGCAGTGCCTTATTATTTTTGAACGCAATGATATTTTTCAAATTTATTTGCGAATATAGTCAACTCATATTTATATCTACTACATATATTTAATCCAGACCGGCGATCTCCATATTCATAGAGTAATACCGGGAAAACCTAACTTTTATTTTTTCAGAGTTGATTATCTCTATAACTACTTTGAGATATGACTGCTTCGTTACAATATAAGCTTTTTATTTATATTTGAATGACATATATGAAATTCAGATACTCAATATTGGCCGTTCGTTAGTCGTCGATGGGTTTTCGTCTAACCCAAACCCAACCCCAACCCCCAGACATCATTTAAGTATATATAAACAAGTTTAGAAACAATTCATGATACTTTCATTCAACCAATCGGTTCATGTTCAATGTCAACAGTATTTATATCCTAGTGAACTCTCTATCTCAATGAAAGTAGGTTCAATCAATATATAACTTTACCATATATATTAAATCACTTTATTAATTATATGGTATCATTTACAGTCTGTTAGAATTATATTCAGTATGATAATAATATCATTCTTCCAAAAAGTCAGCTTTCATCACAAAGATCACACTCCATCCCATTCATTTTGCAAAATATCATATTAGTGTAAAATATGAATACACTCCTCTTTATGTGGATAACAATCTGGAACAGTTTCATATTGATGGCTCTGTATCTTCAAGTCAACTAAGGAACATCTAAGGAAATCAATTAGGAAGAATCTTAATTCAAAATTAAATTTTACCATCATATCACAGTTATTGAATAATGAAATACTTATACAAGAATCATATGATCAATTGTTATATTCATGTCAGGATTCAGTGAAGGTGACACTTCATCAACCTTAGTAAACATATCTCAATATCTAGACAGTCAATTCCACTGAAACTTGAAATATTACCTATCTAGATGATATAATGATGACTCTACAAAGTAACATGCATGTGAAATTGAATGTTGACACTTTTCATCTTGTTATATTTATAGAGATGGTATCCAACAGAGTCAGTTCACAATATTAAATATTGAAACTCATTCTGTATGGTATATTTGGTGTATAGAGTGGTTTTTTTATTGATTGTAATCAGTTTGAAATAATTTGATGAAATTGACACTGTCTAGTCACCATTACATAACAAATAGACCATAGTTTACATTCCATCTCAGTCATTTCAACGAGTTATTGATTAATTCAACCACCATTATGTTTCTCTTACATTGTAGTACAGTTTATATTTCAAGAGTGATTTCTGTGTAGATTATTATAATCGTAATACCTTGCAATACCAAACTCAATAGAAGAGTTAATTCTTCTCATTTTCAAATAGATTATTCAATATAGAACACATCTAGATAGTGTACATATCATAAAAGTCAAGCTACTATATATGGTCTTTGATTAAATTTAAAAATAGACTGCCGTTAATTACTGGAATATTAATTCAAAGCTTGATGATCAAGCTATAAGCTATTGATTGAAATCAAACCGATTATTGAATATTGATCATTGAATTGGTGAATAATCACTTGAATCATGCTACATATTTCAGATTGCATGCAAATCAACCTGATTCAATCTACAAAGGTTGGTAGTGGTTGGTGGTTGCACCACTTCGTGGCGAAACTACCCATCCACGATCAATCAACATTAGATTCACTTCCATTCAACTCAATTTGACCGTTATAATCAATAAATCAATGAAATGTTTCTTTATTAGCAATACCTGTTCAATCTAACGAGTAGATTCACGTCCCAAACATTTGACTTCTCAAAGTCCATATTTCAAAAGTTAGTTCTGACCTGACCTTTAAATATCTATCAATATAAGAAATGAAAACATCAAATTTACATCATTAATAGATGATAAGAAATATAATCAATGATATAAATCTTCACAAAGTAATCTCTTAAATAACCCAAATAAATCAACTCTGAATCCTAACCAAACCCAAAGAGGTGGATACAATTTCCAACACGTTTCATAGTATATTATACAAGCTCATTCTCTAGTGATTGTAATTGATCTACAACTTGTTCAATACTTGGTCTGAGTTTTGGATCTGCTTGCCAACACTCTTTAATCAATTGGCCCAATTTGAAAATTGTTGAAGTATTTCCTAGTTCTGACTTCATAAATTCGGTACACCAATCTGTACATTCGTTGATAGATTGGAATGGAATAGAAGGTCTATAATTATTTTCACAAATCATTTTGGTAAGCTGATAGGATGAGACTTGTTCAAGTGATTTCGTTTTCAATTTGTGGAATAATTCTGACGATTTAAAGAGGTAGGGATCTTTGATTTCGAATAATAATTGCCACATGATTATTGAGAAACTGTAAATATCAACTGCAGTAGCATAGGTAGGATCAACAGCATTAATATCAAACATTTCTGGACTCATGTAGAAATGTGTACCCAACTGATTAGTAAGTGCAGAAACAGTTGCTTGTGAAATGGATTTGCTCAATCCAAAATCACACAATTTACAATTTCCATTCGAATCCAATAGAATATTTTGTGGTTTTAGATCACGATGGATGATTTTTCTTGGTTTCAAGCTGTGTAAATATTCAATTCCATTAGCAATATTAAGAATCATTTTCAATTTTTGATCCAATGAGAGAGTTAATTGTTTAAACTCTAATTTGGCAATCACCTTCTCCATACTCTGATCCAAACATTCCATAATTATGTAACGTTTCGTTGGTGATGTAGAAACTCCGTAAAAATTGATAATATTAGGATGACGAAGTTTGCTTAATAGAATAGCCTCATTTTTGAAATCTTCTTCCGAAATGTTCAAGTTATTTAAATCAAATACTTTAACTGCCACGATCATTCCATTATATTTTGACATGAATACGCTTCCTATTCCACCTTCTCCCAGTCTCTGTATTAAAATTGTTAAATCATTGTTATATTCGAAAGTAAACTTACCTTGATTGGTTTATCCATTCCAATTTTATGGAGAGGAATAACAAAAGAGGAAGGATCATCATTAGTTGAATGAACATTACTAGAAGCAGAAGAAATAGACAATTCATATGCTTCAGTAGTTGATAGCAACCTCTCATCAAGAGAAAGCTCAGTTTCCAATATTTTTCTTTCTTTTCTATTCTTTCTATGAACAACTAATCCTAATATAATAGAAACCACAGCCAATACAGTCAATATCAATAGAACAATAGAAGCACTAATACCTAAGGCATATATTTGACTCATATCTGAACAATCTAAACCAGAATATAATGCATCACAGGTACATCTTCCATTTTCCACACATTTACCATGTCCATTACACACTTCAGTGTCATTCTCACTTTTTCCTGAACAAATTCTTAATTCACAACGCTCTCCAGTAAAATGTTGATTGCATGAGCATCTATCCTTATGAATACAAGTTCCTCTGAGACTACCTCCGCATGATTCTCCAACTATTTGTGAGAAGCAAATTGGATTCTCACACATGTTGCCATAAAATCCATCCTTGCATGTACACTGATTATTGATTCCACAAGTACCATTCATATAAGAACAAACGCTTGATTCATTTGCAGCAATTCCATAACATATTGGAATTTCACATTGACTTCCTGTGTAGAGTCCCTGAAGGCATGAGCAATTATCTGGCTCTACACATTTGCCTCTGCCTGAACAGGAAAATTGCCCAAGAGATCCAAAACAAATAGGAAGGCATTCAGTATTGTTATTCACAAGTTGATAACCCATATCACAAAGGGGCACCAGGTTGTAAATTGCATCCATAGTGGAGACGAGAATTGTATTTTGCTCGGTGACAACCATGTCTGTAATTACTGAACTTCCATATGAGTCTGCTATATTGACTATGGTTCGTAATTTCTCGCCATTTTCAGTATTCGAAATCATCTGAATTCGATAGTTGAGAGTGTCTCCAATCAGAATATTTCCATTGCTTAACCTAGACACTAATCTTGGAGTATTGAACTTGGCCTTCAGTGGATCTATCAGTAAATCATCTGAAGAAGCTGATTGATCTCCTGTTCCAGCTTTTGTCATTATTAATGATGTCAAAGTTGAGGCACCAGTTACTACTCTGATTCTATTATTACTTGAATCAGCAAAATAAATCAAATTGGAATCTACTCCTTGTGCTAATCCAGTTGGGGAAGCTAGCAAAGCAAGGTTGCAACATA